GGGTGTGGGGTGACTACGGTCCCCCCAGACTCACATCCACCCGCACCTGTGAGTGGGGCCTTATTTGCTTACAGGGTCTTTGCACACAGGGTTGGTTACAATGAGGATGCTGGAGCGGGGTGGCCTATGTCCCTGTTAGCAACTGATGTGCTTAAGAGGAAAGAGGAACGTGGACACCCACACACCGGGAGACGGCCGCATGGAGACAGCAGAGGCTGGAGTGATGCGGCCACAGACCAAGGGCACCTGGAGCCCCAGAAGCTGGGAGAGGCAGGAAGGGTCCTCCCCTGGAGCCTACTCGTTGACCTCAGGTTCCTGGCCTCCAGCACAGGCAGAGGCTGCTCTAAGCCACCCAGTATGCAGCACGGCTGCGGCCGCCACGAGAAGCTCGTCCAGGGAGGCTGCTCCAGCCCTAACCCCAGCGTGCCCTGGAGTGAGGCGGCACAAGGCTGTCTGTGGATTTCCACAGCATCCCAGGAGGCGTCTGGACCGCGGTGGCTCCAGGCTGCCAAGCACGGGCAGAGGCCACCGCTCCCGAACTTGGACCCTGCCATGCGCAGGCACAGGCCAGGCGGGGCTGGGGAAGCCTGGGAACCCCAGACCGGCCAGCACCGTCTGCGGTTTCTCAGGCACACTGGGTGGCGGCCCCTCTGTTTAGGACGAGGACGAGGTGGGCCCGGCGGGAGCGGAAGAGCCGGGGTCCAGGGCGAGCAAGTTCCGGACCTTCCAGTTCTCCCCGTCCCAGGAGGAACTGCAGCGGCCCCCGCCGCCCGGCGGTGGAAGGGGCACTGCAGCCTCACCGCCCCACACCCCAGGAGCCCACGTGCTTCTCTCACAGGGAACCCTGTACTGGCCGGACTCAGGGTCCCGCGGAGCCCACGTGCTTCTCTCACAGGGAACCGTGTACTGGCCAGACTCAGGGTCCTGCGGACGGGGTTGGAACCCAGCGCCCAGGAAGCTCCTCTCCCACTGATCAAGGACCTCACTCCGGGTGGGTCCTCCGGAAAGCTGGGCCACGGCCGTCACTGCCCCTCTCCTGGGAGGGCTCAAGGGTGTTGGCCGTGGGGGCTTCACACTGCACCCCTGATTTCCAGGGAAGCCCCTGCCCATGCCTTCCGGGGCCTTCCGGAGGGGCCGAGAGGCTGGTGCCATGGGAGGGAAGGTTCCCAAGCTCGGAGATGGCCAGGAGCAGGAACAGCCTGACTGGGGTGCTGAACTGATAGCTTCTCTTGCCAAATCTCCTGTCCTGCCCCAGCACAAAACTTCCCCGGTGCACGGGGCCAGGTGCTAGGACACTGTGGGGGCGTCCCAGATGCCAGGGGCGGTGGAGACAGGAGGAGGAGGAGGAGGAGGAGGAGGAGGCGGCACTGTGGGTCTTCCACAGGGTGTGCCCCGAAGAGGTCAAGACTCCACTGCCCTGAAGCAAACAAGGTGTCCAGCCAGAGCCAGGGCCACACGCCCAGCAGGTAGGATCCAGCGACCCCGGGTGGCAACCCCCTGCCACACGAGGGAGGACATGCAGTTGACGTGGCCCCGCCTGACATCTGACCCCGCTGTCCGGGGCTCCACCAGGTCAGGGCTGCTCAGCTGACCCCACAACCCCACCAGGCACGGTCAGCACGGTGCCGAGGGAAGGCCTGGAAAGGGAGTAAAGGAGGCCCTGGGGGAGGACCTTGGTGCTTCATCCAAGCCAACCCCAAAAGTGGAAGCCACAGGGCCAGGGGGACGTCGTGGCTGAGATGCAAGCAGGGTGCGGGGCACTCCGAGGCAGCACTGCTGTCCCTGAGAACGGAGGGAGCCCGGGTCCCAGTGTCAGGGCCAAGCCGCGCAGTGGTGTTTGCTGGCACTCAGCCCTGTACCCTCGGACGGAGCAAGAGTCCCAAGCCAGGAACGTGAGACCGACTCCTGTTAGGCAGAAACTACATCTGGAGAACCAGACTCCAGATCCCAGACCACAGACCCCAGATCCCACGCCCCAGATTCCCAGATCCCCAGACCTCAGATCCCCAGATCCCAGACCCCAGATCCCAGGTCCCCAGATCCCCAAATCCCAGTACCCAGACCCCAGATACCAGGCCCCAGATCTGACCCCAGATTCCAGTACCCAGACCCCAGACCCCAGATTCCAGAGGGAGGCCCCAGTGAGGGAGTGGAAAAGAGATTCCGTGACACAAATGCTTTGCAGAAAGAGCCCTCCAGGCCGGGCAGCGGGGGCTCCAGCACAGGGTCCCCATGGCCAGGCCTCACTGCTATTGGTGGTTAACGCCCTGTCCGCCTGGCCAGGGTGGTGCGGCTTCCTGTGGCAGCCAAGCAGCTTCCACACAGCTTCTGCTGCTGTGAGGAGCCCACTCAGGTCTTGGGTTTATTTTTGGTCTTTTGGGGCCAGCGCGGTGGCCCATGCCTGTAATCCCAGTGCTGGGAGGCCATGGTGGGAGGACTGCGTGAGCCCAGGAGGTGGAGACCAGCCTGGGCAACAGAGCAAGACCTCAACTGCACCTGTGTGCGTGCACACACACTCATACACTCACACATTCACACACACTCATACACTCACACACTCACACACACTCATACACTCACACACTCACACACACTCATACAC